AGTTTCAAGACAGGTAGTAAATGGAATTTGGTAGCTTGAATGTTCTCTTTGCATCTGGGAGGCCCTTTAAACTGCTCCACTGATCTCCAATGATGCCCCATATGCGGTACCCTTGATCCACTAATCTTTTTCTCACCTGGGACTTGTATTCTTGCACTTGCATGTATTCATCGTCAAGACCCCTTCAGTCAGAGTTTAACAAATCTCTCAGATAGATCGCCAGGAAATTAAGAAATCAAAGTCAATCAAAACATAAATGCCAAAGGAGAAGCGCGACTAGGTTCACAAGTACTTTTAACTATGTCCTCTCTGAAATGGCAGTTGAACTATCACTATAGTTACAACTGCAGTTTCCAGAGGCTTTTTGAGGTAAAATTTGATCTTGAGCACAGCAAAATGATGGAGTTGGGTGAGTTGCTTACCTTAAGATGAGACCAGCCCATCCGTGGTAGCCAACCTTGATGAGGTTATCAACGGTAGGAGATCTAAGGGTTTCACTTCTTGAAGAGATTAGAAATATTTTAACCCCATTATCTTTGATCTGGTGGAAGAGCTTGAGTGTGTGGTCTAGAGCTGGTGCCTTGGTCTCTTTCATCCATGCCTCCAAAGAAGTTGAATTCAGCTTCTCTCCCCTGGTTTCATTGCAATCAGCAATCGGATTTTGTTCAGCAAATTAACTTGACAATATTTTATGCTACTGTGGTGCCATAACTCTGGCAATGCCAGGTAAAATAATTCCTAACCTACTATGTAGATCGATCCATTAGGAGTTTCAATGTTAATGAACAGTACCAAATCCATTGTCTGAAGAAAAAGGAGAAACCAAATGAACCATGTAATATGCTTTCTTTAAACACAGTGGACCATCTCAAATACTAGACAATATCCCAAAACAGCATTAAGTATGATCGATCTTACCCGAAACCATGTTTCTTGAAGTAGGGAATGGTAGAAATGAGCGTGTCATCAACATCAAAAATCCACGCATCTTTACCGTCACCGTCCAAAGAGCAACAGCTGCTCAAGTATAGTGTCACTTCCTCGATTGCCTTCTCAGAGTCAGCCTTGTACTGAGATGAAGTCATGTACTTCTTGATGTAATATACACATTCTTGGGGCACTACTTCGAACTCCCTTATGTTGTGTAGCTCAACATTGATCCTCCAACTTTCACAGTAGTTTTTCAAGCTATCTCCTCTAGCATTTTTCCATTTTTGGTTCAAAATGTTCCAGTCTGCATCTGCTAGGCCAATCAAGAGGTTTGCCAATGCCAAAATGAGCAGGGGTTTTCTTGCCATTCGCAGAGAGAGGGGGAGAGGGGGGTGCTGACTGAAGGCTGATGGATTAGGAACGTTAATGGGGCACATAAAGGGGGCACATGGGGGAGGTGGGGTCTGCAATCATGCTCTGGCTTCGGAAGATCACATGGAATGATGATTTATTAAAATGGAAGATAGTATATAAATTGATGGTTATTGAATGTATGGACAAACCAAAGGCTAAGTAAAATGATGCTGCCCAACTCATATTGTTCCCCGCCATGCCATTTGGTTCAACCTGGCATGATGTACCGTTAGAAGGCGCAGCCGCACAGCTTCTTTCAGCCTTGGATCCCTCTGCGTCCGATGCAATGCCAGCTATTTTTAAAAAAATTTCCCAATTATGCCGTGATTCTTGCCGTATAACATGGAGTAGAACTCATTTGCCTTGCTTTTAGCCTTTTTGTTTTAGGGTAGAATTAGAACTGTGCTTGGTGCTTCATGAGTTTGCTACTTTGTTGAAATTTAGAAAATACTAATTGGATGCCAAGATCAAAGATGATTAATTTGAAAGAAGACATATTGATATTCCTTGTTTGTAGTTGAGACAAAGACACAAATGCCTAGTTTTTAAGTTTTCAGCATCCCAATTGGTGACAAGCGGTAGTGGAATACTAGATTAGATGATTTATGTCTTGTTTTCGGTGTTGACAAAAAGAGAAAAAGCAGTGGATAGTACATGGTGGAGGGCCCCAAGGAAACTATCCAACGCATCGCTCAAGGACCTGTCTCTTTCTATCTTTATGACAGCTGAAGTGGGGGCGTAGAAGCAGAATCAACGGTTGGTGAATGGGCCAGTTTTCATTTTTCTTTCCTTTTTATCTTTTTCCTTTAAAAAATAAAGAGCTTGGATGCAAATACGATTAAATATGCTTATGCCTGGAATCATTCAAGGTATGGATTCCGGATTAACGATTACACATGTAGCCAACACCGTAGCTTAAGCTTAGAAAATTCTTAAATTTGCTCCAAAAAATGGAGTAACAATGCAGGAGGTTTCTAATCTGGACCATCATCTTGTAACTATTCCTCTTTCTTGGGGAAGAAGATGGGTTAATAAATTGTAAATTATCCCATGGAAATTACATTTCATGATATCATTGCTTTGGTTTAGTTGCTGATAGAAGGAAACAAATGGAGAAAAGAATCAGGGAAAGGAAAAAGTGCAACCATCCCAAACGTTCAAACCCAGATAACGCCTCCTGGCAACGAAGGTAAGGAGAAAGCCGTGAATGGACCAGGAATATTGCACAATGCCTGATAATTTCCTTGACAGAAAAGAGATACATGGTCTCTGTCCTCTGGTATGATAATAATTACAGCTGTTATCATCGAAAATCAAGTAGGGTGACAACTGACAACGGTAACGCAACAGAAAATCGAATATAAAGTGGCAAAACCTTCTTATTTATGCATCAAATTGCCCCCTAAAACGACTGAAAACAATCAGCATGACTTATTTGAAGAAAAGAGCCAAGAATTCATCGTATTGAATTCAGTATGATATGTTCATGGGTAAACCCATCATCAAAGTTCAGAGAATAGCTGCGCAAGTCATAACTGAACTGCATGCTGCTTCTTTGCAATCTCAAGGCTTGCCTCCACTGTGACTTGAGCTTCCAAACAAACTGCTTCAACACATACGATTTTAAGCGACAACACAAAGTTGGCCTACTCTGAACACTGATAAGTTTTACTGGCATATCCATCGTTTGCTGCTTTCTTTCCCCACTTCAAGAACTGGATTCTCTTCAAGCTTTGCATTTCAGAATTTTCAGTGCTGGCTCCTAACTAACTTCTCACTATGTATCCACTCAAAGGAGAAGAGCTTGCAGGCTAAAAGCAACAAGAACATAAGATATATAGTTTCAAAGAAGGCGTGAATTGAGCTTTTCATGCATCTAATCCCACCAGAAGACATCACTGTCTAAGATGTTAGATGGCACTTTGCCATTTGTCTGAAATCAGAATCATTATCACCCATAGTTCTTTCCACTTTGCTTTGCCATCATTCCTAGGTCATCCTTGTCTCAACTTGATTGTCTAGCCTTGGAAAAAGTTGCTAGTGTTTATCATTTGCGGTTTTGCTTCTGGTTCACTCACAGTGAACTTTCTGTGAAGCATCTACAAGAGATAGAGAGAGACTAAGATTAGGTTTGCTGTGACTAAAAGTTATGCCGTCCATGCCTAAGTCTGACTCTTCTAGTCCGCGAAAGGAGGAGGGGAAAAGAGAGAAAAAGAGTGACCTAATTATCAAAAGGTTCGGTGTCACTTTATTTGGAGGAAGGCCCACAAAGATGTGGAAATATTTTTGTGGGGTGACAAACAGATGCTTAGTAAAACAACTTGTAACAAAAACAGGCACCACCAATCACTGTGTGCAACTATTAAGTTTCATCACCCTTTTCATTGTACAAAAAGAAGAGATAAAGTTGATGCACCACCTACATAGTTCAGTTTGATATGAATGATGAAGATAACACCTAGAAGCATTTCAAGGAAAACGTTCCACTCAGACTTAATCCTTGTAGTCTTGTACATGCAAAACGATTGCATCTCAAAAGTAGGAACGTGTGAGGAATGAGAGAATTTACCATCTACAACATTATTCTTCCACAAATAATTAGGACTTGAACCAAAATATTTGCCATGATTTCAGCTACTGGCCTAGCTAGCTTCTTACTTACAGAAAACCAGATTTTCAACAGCAATCTAGTATTTTACATCTGTTATTTTATTTTTCTCCCTATATTTTATTGGCTGAAATTTCTTTCTGGCCAAGTGGACTTTGCTTACCAAATACGAATTTATTCCTTGCTTCAACATTAAAATGAACCCATTTTAGAGCCTTGCAATCTCTCCATTTCTTTCCACTTCCCTAGAAAAGAAGAGGGGAGGGGACAGTGATAAATACGTGATCATATCAATTCCTAATCAAGTTCCATCTTCTTACCATACCAAAATCAACCTTTCTGTTTCTGCTTGATTATAACAAAGTGGGACAATCACATTTAGGCATTGTGAATCTTTGAAATACTAAGATTCACTCAAATGTCCATTTAAAAATCCCCGCCTATGTTTTACATACAGTTAACGCCAAATGTGATGCGTAAAAACAAAAATTTAGAAAAAAAAATACCTCCCGCTACAAGTATATGCAAATGAAATGCCATTTTCAGCAATAGATGTATAAAAAGGGAACCTTATTGAAGACCAATCAAGCACCACATGCACCATGTATCATTTGAGAACCACGAACATGAAAGATGTAGAGACACCAAATTCTCTCAGCAAGTTCACCTGGGAAGACATCATGTATTTGATGTCCAATATCCAAAAAAAGATTAGAGTGCCTTTCAAAAAAGTGGGACAATCACATATATGCATTGTGAATCTTTGAAATACTAAGATTCAACTCAAATGTCCATTTAAAAATCCCCGCCTATGTTTTACATACAGTTAACGCCAAATGTGATGCGTAAAAACAAAAATTTAGATAAAAAAAAATACCTCCCACTACAAGTATATGCAAATGAAATGCCATTTTCAGCAATAGATGTATAAAAGGGAACCTTATTGAAGACCAATCAAGCACCACATGCACCATGTATCATTTGAGAACCACGAACATGAAAGATGTAGAGACACCAAATTCTCTCAGCAAGTTCACCTGGAAAGACATCATGTATTTGATGTCCAATATCCAAAAAAAGATTAGAGTGCCTTTCAAAAAAAAAAAAAACAAAGATTAGAGTGATCTATTTCAGTTGGCATAAAGCAGAGAATATCCAATAAAGAAGAAACAGATAGCTGGAAATGATAATGAGTAAGTTCCTGTTGTCCTTATGTTGATTACCCATACACTGGATGTAAGGTTTGTTTGCATCCAGGATTTCACTCTTCATGTAGCTAACGGACCTATGTCACTTGCCGATGTTATACTTGTGGCTTTCATCACATAAACATGATTCAAGTTTTGGTATGCCATTGGTACTATAATTTGTTCAAGAGATCTCCATAAGCACAGGCCACCTTATGCCAACAGCTAGGCAATGTGCATTCGAGTAGCAAACACTGGCCTTGCTTTAATCATAAATACAGTCAATAACTGCTTCTGTGAAAGCTACCTAACTATTAAACAAGAACCTTAATTACTTATTTCTTAATTTTCACCTGCAGGGAACAAGTAAAGCAATTATAAACAGCTTGGGATATCATAATTGTTGACAATGAGAGTTGACTGACAAAAATGACGAAATTGCATAAGTACCATGCATATGCAGAAAAGTAACCCTCTAAGTTTTAGGCTTGTACTTCAACAAATTAATTGCTCAAGGTCTGCTTTGAACAAGATCATAAGGCCACCCGCCTAATAGCTAGTTAAACCTTGTGGCATTTGGTATATAGTTTCAGCAAGGCACATAAAATTTACATTGCACATCGTGATGCTGTATAAAAGCATCCATGAAAAGAATATGAAGATTGAGAACTGAATATACTCACAGTCTTTATGCTCATTCCAATCTTGAATACAACTGCAGCATCTACAAGACAAAATGTAGGAATTGAAGATGAAAATGCTGTCATGGAAGGATCGAAACAATGAGTCATATTATAATGAAGAATTAAAATTTGATTTACAGATGCCAAACCTCATGGCGGAAGGATTTCCTTTGAATTGAGTCTCTATTTCACTCAGGTAAAGTCTAAATAAGGGTGACCTGCAATACCATTTACAGTCATCTTGAATCATGGAGCAGGCAAACTGCAAGCACTCTTAGATATGTCCACAGGTCAGTATTAAAATTAAAATCAAATGGAAATTGAACCATTCCATGGTAATATAGAGACATTCAATCATCATCAATTTATTTAAACATGAGTTCCTAATTCCTATTATCTAATTTCTGCCTCGGTAGGTATATACAATAGGCCTTATATTAAAATTCATATTAAACTTGTGTTATCTACAAAATTTTAAACAAGCATAAAAGATGAAGTTTTATTGTTCACAATCTAACATGTCTGTGATTTCCTAATTTATCTATTCCAACAAAGTGAGCTGACTCAAATTATCCAAAGCCACACACAGAGATCAATAATACCAGGATGGAAGTGAAATTGCTGCAAGGGCAGCGGATGATTTCCACAACAGATGAACTTGACCACCCAAGAGTCCCATCAGAAAATCGAGAATGCCAGCTTCCTAATTTAGACAACCAAAATAAACTATAAATAGTGAGGCAAACTAGAAGATTAAAAGCAAGAACAAACTTGGTTTGGAGCTAGAGTCTGGTATAACAACATTCACATGCTTCAAAAATAGACAAAATACAAAATAACTCACAGAACAAATTTGCACTACAATCAAAGATGTAAAGCACACTACTTGGATTCAGGGGCAAAATACAGTCATTTGACTCATTCTCCATATTTTTTGTCAATTGCAAAAGTTGCATAGCGTACTCAAAAAGAGTCACTGAAGATGTCCAATGTGACAGAAATAGAACTATAATGATTTGGTCTTCACAAAGCAATAATTTTTATGCAGTAGATAAGGAAAAAAGATAAAAGCTAACGACAAGATTAAGGCCAATAGGTTCCTCTCTGCTTTTCAGCACCAATCAAGCCAATAATTTCCAAATGTTTTTTGTGCATCTGTCCAGTGATGATAGGTTCTTGGTTAAAGAAGTGGTAAAAATGGCAGGCTTACCATAAGTGTGACAGCATAGTCAAGTGACTTTGAATAAGAAAACAGGGAGTCAGAAATGCAGTTAAACTATATCAAGCAGCTTAGGATCTATATTTTACACAATAATTTAAAAGTCAGGACCATTCCAATGAAAATCAAGGGTTTTAAGAACTCTGAGCATATGCAAAATCTATTGAGATTCTCAGATCAGATGGCTGCAGGCACAAGAACCAATGACTTCCGCAGCATCTGGGGCTCAATCATTGAACCATGGGCTGTAAAATCATCAACCTCCTTAGAATACAATAATAAAAGAGTAAAAACCACCTTTACTCTTATTAACAAAAAACCCTAGAATAACAAAGAAAGTTGAAATAATGAACTTAACAAGAACAGTAATTAATGCTTAGATAGGATCAAACACAATTAAGCTCCTCCAATACATGCCTACATAAATAAATACATACTTACATACAAACATGCACGCATGCATAGACACATACATGCACACAGACATTTACATGTATACATACATATGCACAAACATAAACACAAGTACACTAAAGATGGTTGTACTCCAACAAAACAAGCATATGGAACATTCTTTGATCTCTACAATTCACACTTAAAAGATACCTTTGATTTCATTATATCCTCTTTTTGATGAAAACTTTGAGATTTTCCAAAGTCTGAGTTAGCAAGCATGTGACATTGCTTTGAGATGGTAACAGAATCATAAGATACTGAAGTTAAGTGTTCAATTATGTAATTCCATCTGCTTGCAATGCATCCAAGTAATAAAAGCTCCTGTTCCAAGAGACAAGAAGGGGGAAAAAGATGAATTAGAGCTTAAAATGAAAATAAATACCCTCTGGAAAAAGACTCACATAAGATAAATCCCGACGTTAATAACTTGAATAGACCCCGCATCTATATATGACCAAAACCAATCTAGGCTAAGCAAAGATATTAGTGTTCACACTAATATCTAGGTGCAATTAATTGATCACAATCAGTTGGTATTAATGATGAAAACTGAAACTATGCTCTTGTAAACAAGAAACAAAAGGAAATTCTGCTGCGGTCAAGTTGCAGGTAAAAGACAGTTTAATGTTTGCTGTGGCTAAAACTGTCCTGAACTGATTGCGAGTAAAAACCACTGTCCTTTTCCCAAGAGTTAAAACAAGCTTTCCAGTCCCTTTACTTTCAAAGAACTGCAGCGATAAGAAATCTATCATAAGCATCATGTAACAACAGACAGTAAAAAAGAGAAACATATATGCTTTTCTTTTACTCATGATCATAAATAAAAATATCTTGGAATGTAAATCACTCATTCAAAGTCCAAATAAACAAATGGCAAACAATTGCTGAGGATAGCATATTTACTGGGAACATAAAATTGGTGTCTTTCCGCCAAAATTTCATACTTCCCCGGCCTCCCAAACTATCATAGCTGCTACTTGCAACATGTAGATGGACATAATGACGTGACAGCCAAAAACATAGCACAAGCATAAGAGCAAGAACTAGACAAGCATAGACATGAACAAGCAAGTGACACTCATAGCTCGGATACACATCAATCATGGTAAAGCACGCTTTAATAAAAGGTTCACACAACCTTACACCACTATCAATTATATCAAGTAGAACAAACTTACAATTGCCTCATGTATATCACAGTTGCTATCTTTTTCAGAAAAGTTCAGCTGTCCAAACACTTTCCCCCATTGTACCTCAGTGCCTGAAAATATTAAACTGGCACCAGAAACCAATCTAATAGTTCTCTTATCAAGAAAATATGACAAAGCCCTTGACTTCCACTGGTTCCATGTGAACACAGCAACTGATGCATCTGCACTCCTAAGCACAAAGATAAATATTTTGGCTCAAACCTTCAAGAAAAGAGCTGCAGACTAGAAGTAATTGATCTATCGAACGTAACTCACAGATTGTAATTAACGCACCAGAAAATTGTGAGTTGACATACTAACAAGGGATATCCATGATTTCAAAGAGAATGAAATGTAGTCTTCTAGAAAGAGTCAGATGGTGATGTTAAGAAAACAAACAGATTTCACTACCTTTCTAGAACTAAGCATTCACTAATGTATTAAATTTCTAAGCTAACATGTTTTCAACATGGAATTACTAGCAAGAAAAATCAGTACATACTGCAGTAAAGCTGGAAGACTTTCATGCTTCATTTTTTCTCTAAATAAGCTACAGTCAGATTCAGTCCAGCTGCTCTGTCTTACAGCTTTTGAAAGAATATCCAATCCTTCCTCAATAGTTGATATGCATGACACTGAAGATTGCCTCCTGAAGAGTTCCTGAACAGCAAGTTTAGTAAAATTATCACTGCCAGAGTCTTCAGTTTCCACGGTTGGAGTTACATCTAGAGATGAAGTAATCAAATCCCCCGTACAGAGTCTATTTTGCAGTGTCAACTTATTCAAATACGCATTGAGACAGTCATGTTCTGTCTCTGAAAGTGCACTAAGGTCCATCTCGATAGTTGCTGTCAAGACTGCTTTAAGATGTGAATCCCTCAATGGTAAATTACGAAGTAAGTGTTCCAACATATAACATCTTGCCCTTCTAAGAGTAGCGGATGATAAATGTGCAAGACCCTGCCACCATTAAAAAGATTGATACTAATAACAATTCAATCACAGAGAATTTCAATTAGCATATCACAAAACAAGATGTATAAAGACCAGCACCTGAGGGAAGGAAGGATGGGATGCCATTTCGAATAGCGCTGCATCAAGTTCCTCTAAAGACTCTCGGTAAACATCCAAGCTGCTCAAACGCCTAAAAACCTAAACAATATAATAAAAGAAATTTGAATTAATATAATTAGCATTTCCCCAATAAAGAAATGAAAAAGAATTTATTTTAATTTCTTATTAAAAGATCTTAAATTTGATAAATCGAATGGAATAAGCCAATCAATAGTTGTTAGAGAAGAGAGAGGGTACCGACGTTTTCAAAGAAGAGAGCCCATTGAAAGGCTCGCTTGATGTTGTCGGAGTCCCAGTGGGCAAGAAGACCAGATGATTGATACCCAGATGCTAAAATAAGTATATCTACAAACCCTTTTATCAGTTTCATCATTTCTTCCAACGATATGTCTGGGTAATTCCATCCCATTCTGTTTTTTCTTTTTCTTTGGTTTTCTTCCATGATTTCTGCTCTCAACTATGCCGATTCGGAAACGATACACCAAATTGGGAAGAGGTTTGAAGCCAAGCTCGGTTTGGGTCGCAACTGGTTAAGTGTTTATACACGGGCAATGGAGTCTTCATGGAAGAAAAAGAGAGAAAAATAGAACAGAAGAAAGAAGGTCGCGACTCCGGCACTCTGGAGAGAAGACCGGCAACGTTCTGAGTTGGCGTTTTTCAGTTTTCCCGCGCCAACTAATCAACTCTCACAAGGCTAAAGCCTAAAAATGAGAAAGAAAAATGAAATTTGAATATTTTTCTTCCCAGTTTGGTAATGGAAAATTTTTTTTATGTAAAATACATTTTATTAAAAAATTTAATATTTTTTATTGTTTAAATAAATTATCATAAATATTTTTTCAAAAAATATTTTTATGAATCATAAAATTTTCCATCTTCAATAAATTTCTGCCATCTTACTAAAGTATAAACGTTTATTAATCATGCAATGCATCCAAAACATTTTTTTAATATTAAGAATATTATATATAAATAATATTTAACTTTTTTATTTATATATTTATTTATTTTTCATCATATTGTTATGTTAGTCTGTTAAGTAAATCAATCCTAAATTAGAAATTAAAAAAATTAGAGATTTCCTTGTGTGAAAATTTTGTTTAATATTTTATAAAAAAAATTCTTTACTTGATCTTAATTACTTTGTATTATACTAAAAATTTTAGTATTTTAGTAAACATAACCATAGTGATATCATCATTATGAAATGATTGAAAACAAATAATTAATCATGTTTTGTTAAAAAAAATTAATTACTAAAGAGAAGAAAAAAATATAATAATGCTTTATTGTTTTGAGAGATCAATCATACAAGGAGGGAAGGGTAATATTTTACAAGTGAGATTGATCTTAGGGTCCGTTTGTTACACTACAATGTAAAGCACATTATCTATAATGTGACTTATTAAATTATATTGCAGCGTTTGTTTTGTAACAGATCACTGCAATGTAAGATTGCAATGCAATCATCATCAGCCATGGGATGTTAATGTGATTGCAGTCCAAAACCAATGCAATCACATTACATTGCACTCTGCAATGTTTTTAAAGATAATTTTACCCTTCAATTTTATTACCTTATTAAAATATTTATAATATTATAATTAAATAAAAATATTAAAATAATATATAATATAAGAATAAAAATTAAAATAAAATAAATAATAAAAAATTAACATTTATATAATATAGGTAAAATTAAATAAAATTATAATATAAAAAATATTTTAAGAAATGAAAATAAAATATATAAAATTATAATAATATAAAATAAAATATATGACATTAAAAAATATTTTAAAATTATATTATAATAAAAATTAATATAAAAATATAAATATATTAAAAATAAATATAATATTTATAATTAAATAAATAAAATATATGACATTAAAAATATATTTAAGAAATGATATTATATAAAAATATAAATATAAATATATTAAAATAAAATATAAAATTATAATAATAAATAAAAATAAAATATATGATATTAAAAATATATTTAAAATATGATATTATATAAAATTAATAATATAAATATAAATATTTAAATAAAATATAAAATATTATAATAATAAATAAAAATAAAATATATGAATTTAAAATATATTTAAGAATGATATTATATAAAATTAATAATAAAATATAAATATATTAAAAATAAATATAAAATTTATATAATAAATAAAAAATAAAATATATGATATTAAAATATATTTAAGAATGATATTATATAAAAGTTAATAATAAAAAATATAATATATTAACTTATATTTTAATAATTAGGGGTAATTTTGACAATTAACATTACATTCCACTAAAGTACTTGTAAACCAAACACTGCAATGTTATCTTCCTGCATTTTATTCATTATTTTACTTACATACCAAATACTGTAATGTTATTTTCCCTGTAATCACATTGCTTGCAATCACATTACTTATAATCACATTGCATTGTAATGTACCAAACGCCACCTTAAAATTTATCAGATCAATTGTAGAGAGGAAGGAAGAGAGATGCAAAATGTCTTACACTATTCTCAAGTATAAGATATTTTGGGTAAGTCAATGTAAGTTTTTCGGTTATCTACAAAACATTTTATATTTGTAAAATTTTTTCTTCCTTCTAAATGGAGGAAAAAGATTAAAAAATTTTAATTAAATTATGCAATTAGTTTTTGCACTCTACAAAAAATGTAAATAGTTCATATACAATAATTTGTATAAATTAAATAATTATATTTTGTTAATTTGTTAATTTCAGCCTCTAACTTTAGCACCATTAAATCTAATTGTTAATTATGCGAATATAACATTTTGACTAAATTGACATAATACTTCTTATTGTTATGGCATTGACTATTTACTAATGTGGTATTGATTAGACTTCTTGTAGGTATTGGTTCACTAACAGCTATTGATTGAATATTGAACCTTTATTTAGGTCTTTAGCCATAATAGATAGTTAGATAACTATTTCTACTCCGACATTGTATCAACATTAATGAATAAAAACATATTTAATTGTAAAACACTAAACCTAACAAATAATACAATTTTTTTTCTTTAGAATTAAAGAAGAAAGATTTGAATCTTACTTTTTAAATAAGAGATCATGCATTAACTAATGAACTAAATACTCAAGTGCAACAAATAATATAAGGTTACTATCTAATACTAGTGAGAAAAATATATCATATATTCGATCAAACCATGTACCTAACAAGAGAGAATAATGAATAGGCATAAGCTAGAAATTTACCCATTTAATTGACATTGCGCTTAGGTAGCAAATGCTTCATTTTTAAAATCTGAAATGCTTGTCAACCTACATAACAAAAGAAGGATAATTTGATATGTATGATAAAAACAAAGACCTACAAGACCTTAAAAAGCTACTAGTAAATTGAATGGAATTAATAAGGAACCATCATATGATTCAACTTGATTACTTTCCACTAAAGCAAGGACGAACAGAGGACGTATCATGGTGAGAGAAAAGTCAAGAAAGGGTGTAATGAGGAATAGTGTCAACTAGATGCCGAATCAAAAGAATTGTTATAGATTCCAATTCTTAAGGGTTTGGTGTTGTTTCTTCTGCATCTTGGTACTCAAAATGTTACATCTGAGGATTGTTAAAAAGGCTAAGAGGATAGAATAGCAGTCATTAAAGCATCCATCAAGAAAGTGTCGTGTCAATATTACGTCAACACATAATCAATGTCATGTTAATAAAAAGTGTCGCATCAACTTGATCAAGATATCACTTTAGTAATTTAATTGGTTAAATTTAACTGTATTAGATTTAAAGATTAAAATTAATAAATTGACAAAGAACAAACACTTAATTTATACAAATTATTGTATAGAGATTTAATTTATATTTTTTAAAAATACAAAGACAAATTACATAATTTAACCAAAATCTTATTAAAAAAAGATTTCAACTTTATCGAATGTGGCCTCTATTAAGCATTTTTTAGAATAAAAAATATCAAGGAATTTAAAACAAAGAAAATAACGTACTATCTTTCTTTTTCTCATGAAACAAGTATATTAGTTTTAGGTTTTATTTTGGAAAAACAATGGACAATTTTGTATTGTATAATGGTTAGATTTAACTATATTTTTTAATTAGTGACTTAATTTGTGCATTAACACTTTTTTCCTTCTTTATTTATTTTCATCCTATTATCAAAAGTATCTTAAATGAAGAGCAAAATGAGCACATCTCGTTATCTAATCGCTTTTTTTTTAATGTTATTGACTTTAATAATTTGTTCATAACAAATACATATGACTCAAACCCTAATCTAATTATGTGTGTGATCATTATAAACAATATGTTTTATTAATAGATTTGAAAAGAAACAAGATTTTAAATATTTTTCAAATAAAGTTCATAATAAACATCCATCTTGGTCAATGTAATTTTTTTTTTGAAAAATTAAATGATTCATAGATAAAATGGAAATTGAAAGTTCCCTGCAACTAAACAAGACATGAGCCCAACTTTTGGATTGTTATCACATAACAAACCAACAAAATGGCAAGCCCACGATCAAAAAACCAAAGTAAGTTAATGCAATAGTTGAACTTATTATATTTATCTTGTAATCTTAGTTATAGTTTATTTTGTAAACTCTTAGCAACTTGTATATTATAAATAGATTATGAAAAGTGTAATTATTTGGGTCTAAGCACTATTGATTCAATAACATTTTGTATCTAAATCACGTTACTTTTAAAAGTTTAAGCTAAAATTGCTAATAATTATTGCCTTATATCTTTATATAAATCTTTAATAATCATATTCACATATGATATGAGATAAAGTATCACAATCTCATCCACTCAATTCCTTTATATCTTCATCAAAGTCACACATCACAACCACAATCAAGGCCCATTAGATAGAATCGAGATCTAACTAGTGCAATGTGAATTTTCACACTGAGCTAATACATGTTTAAATACCAATTGTAACGTCTCGGGTCCAAGTACCATTGGTCTAATAAATTTTCGGGTTTAAATCTCATGACCTTTAAGAGCTTAAGCTCGAGTTACTAGTAATGATTGATGTATGCTCTTATATAGGTTTTTAACAATCGTATTCAAATCTGATATAAGATCAAGTATCACAAAAAGAAAATGGCATTTATGTCTTCTCTCTCAAATTTTTTGCCTCACTTGTTTTTTTTATGGTAACAAAGTAGTGACGCCTTCAAGATGTTTTTCTTTTTTATCCTAAATCTTCATCATTATCATATAATCATGTCTAAAGCCTCACCTACTTTTATTATCAATATTGCATGTTGTTGCCAGCTTACAAGGCAGGCTCGAAATTTGTCAAACCTTAAATGGAAAACTCTAAACTCTTATTTGCAAGTTCACCACAAAACTCTTTCCACTTTGAAAAACACTGAAGTCACTCTCACTAGTAGGCACCACTTTGCAAAACTTACCACTGTACTTAACTCCATCAAGTTTTTTCTTAATTGCTAAAGTAATTACCATATCCCATGTGTCACAGACTTGGAACTTTAGCTTAAAACCATGAGGCTTTAACCTCATAAGTGAAGGCTAAATAAGCCTAACTCTTAACATAATGTGGAAGCAAAAACAATGAAGAAGGAAATTTAGAGAAACAATAATTTTATTATTCCTCACAGGTAAACAAAATACCTAT